TGCTGTAAAAGCTTCAGTGTTGTCAGGAGGTTGCAGTGTTAGGAAACAGGAAGGTACATTGTCTAAATAGCTGCTAAGAAATCGAAGGATTTGTTTTTAAACTTAGGAATGGTATCAGTGGTTAGTCTTTCAGTTTTCTACCATTTGCTTACATTGGTTTAAGGAAAAAGTCACAGTGTGCACTGATTCATATGTAACACCAGTCACTAGACAGACTTCTGAACTTTAAAGGGATAAAATGTATGAAGTTGGATATGTTTCATCTTCATTTGAATTGGAGTTTACAGCTAACCAAGGAAATAAACAGTTTGCACAGTTATTCTCATAACTTTCATGAGATGATATGGTATTCAAGAGGACACATGAATCCATTACACATGAAATTGATTTTTTTAGAAAAGCCAGAGAAAAGAATATTAAGTTGGGTATCTCTGTTATACTTAATAAGGCAAACATATAAATATATCTCAATTGTTAAATGCTAAAGTCTATCTTTATAGACTGAGAAGTTGTAGTGACATTAAAAATTATAATATAGCAAATCCAGAACATTTTGAGATAGAGTGAACTTAAAAGTATAAAATATTCATGCATGTCTTGCTCTTATATCTGTTCCATGATTGTGGAAAATTTCCAGGATCCTTAACATTCTCGTGATGATTGATTTCTATGAAGCAATTTGGTTAGCCATTGTCAATTCTATACTTGCTTTCCACCCTTCACCCTTTAATATTGGAAACATGGAAATCCTCCTTTTTCTTAAAGCACACAAAAGGAAGCAATCAGATAAACCACAATATGCCCAGGAGAAGAGTGGGTGTGTGTGTGTGTTCAGCATGGGCATTTGCAGAGCAACAATATAAACAGCTTAATCTGGGATGGTGAACGTTGTGATTTAAAGAATTTCTCTGCTGTTTCTGCACTCAAACCTTTTCCTGTGCTTCTCCGTCTTCTGTCTTCCTTTGCCTCACCCCCCTGCCTCTTCTTTTTTCACTCTTCTATTTTTCTGTTTCCACATTCCCAAGAGAAAACATTTAATTCCTTTCACTTTCTTACTTACAGCCTCTGCTTCTACTCTTTTTGGACAGGCAGAGTGGGTAGTGAGAGAGACACAGAGAGAAAGGTCTTCCTTTTGCCGTTGGTTCACCGTCCAATGGCCACCACGGCTGGCGCACTGCAGCCGGCACACCATGCTGATCCGAAGGCAGGAGACAGGTGCTTCTCCTGGTCTCCCATGGGGTGCAGGGCCCAAGCACTTGGGCCACCCTCCACTGCACACCCGGGCCATAGCAGAAAGCTGGCCTGGAAGAGGGGCAACCGGGACAGAAGACCGGGATTAGACCCGGTGTGCTGGCACCGCAAGGCGGAGGATTAGCCTATTGAGGCACAGCGCCGGCCTGCTTCTACTCTTGCAGTCAGCTCCAGGCCTTCCTGTGTGTCTAAGGGTACAGTGGAAACTTTGATTTATAGATGTTGAGAGCTACTTGTCCCTAAACTCTTCTTCTGGTGGGAAAAGGGCAAGTATTTGAGTAGGTTTCCTTCTAGATACACAAACCATGGAAGAGTTACTGTTATCCCTCTCTGTCCATGGGAATTGGTTCCTGGAGCCCCACAGATGACCAAGTCTCTTAGATAGGATAGATGCAAACAAGAAACCATGCTAAGTACCTCCTTCTCTAGATTCTGTATAACACCTCACATTATATAAAAGCAATACAAATTGTTTTACTGTATGTAGGGGATAATGTAGACAAAATAGTCTGTATATGTTCAGGATGGAAGCATTTTTTTCTGAATATTTTCCACTTATATATTTGTTTGAATCCACTGAGGAGAACCCATGGGTTTGGCTGTCTGACTGTATTTTGATTTTGATACAATTCCATAAAAATCTCTAAGCAGTAAATCTGTACCGACATTTTTGAAGATTAGGATGTTGAAGAGAAGTGGTTTCCAAAAGCTGGTGCACAGCTCTGGCTGCTTGTATCAGAATCTCTAGAGCAGCCTTTTAAATGTTAGATTCTTCATGTCCTTTAGTTGGGAAGACACTGATACAGCAGTGCTGGTGACACTGAGAAATCTGTATCTGATTAGACAACCAAGCATGGAAGCAGCTTTTCTGAGTGCCATAATCTTCATTTTCACTTACCAAGTGCAGTGATGCAAAATAAATGAAACATCGATATATCTATCTAGGCTTGGGCATTGATCTTAAAAGCAGTTACTTCAATCTTATCACTAAGTTTCCTTTTCACTTGTTTCTTTTTCCATAAACAGTTTTCCCAGGGCTGTCTATATTTTTCCACTCAGGTCTTGGACTAACCAGAGTAGTTGGTCATCAGATAAGAGTCTGTAAAGAAACAGGGAGCTGGTGTCTTGCTTGGTGTTAAGACACTGGTTGAGATGTCCATGTTCCATACTGGAGTACCTGGGTTCAATGCCCAGCTCCGCTCCCAATTCCAGCCTCCTGATAATGGAACACTGGGAAACAGCAGGTGATGGCTTCAATAGTTGAGTCCCTGCCAGTCCTGTAGGACAACTGGGTTGAATTCCTAGAATCAGCCTGGCCTCCTCCAGCCCTGGCAAACATTCTGCAGGTGAGCCAGTGGGTAAGAACTCTGTTGTACTGGCTTTCAAATAAATGAAAAACTAAAACTGAGTCTTTTAGTTCCTGCAGCCATTATTTGATAGATACGTATTTTTGAATTGTATACTGTGTGATTAAAATTGTGCAATTCTGAAGATAAGCAGTGCTGTCCTAGGACTCAGGAGACAAAGGTGCTACCTACAGAAATGAAGGGGGCATTGTCCCCATGAACCTTACCTTAGGGCAGGCAGTTAAGGCAGATTGAAGGAGTAGATATACCTTTTGACACATTTTTAAGAACTGATCTTTGTCTTTCCATGCTCTCAATTCTACAAAGCCCTCAATAGGACATTTCAGGGCAATGATATAATTATCTACTAGACTAGCCTTGTTTTAGATATATCAATTTTAATTTGAAAGCAAACTACTTAAGGAAATAATAGGCTGTTGGAAATGCGGGTGTCGTGATTAAATGACAAGAAAGACGTGGAAAGCCAAGTTTCCAAAATGATAGTTTCTAAAACAAGTTTAATAGAGTACTAGAAATTGACCTACTGTTTAGACCCCAAAGCCTGGATTTCAGATTCCAAGTTATTTATCTAGGTCTTAGAAATGGTAACAGCTGACTGTATTGAGAATGAATAGATTCTAAGATTGAGGAGGAAAGAGACTCAATCTTGGAGACTACAGCTTGGAGTCATGAGGGATATCAGAAAAGCATGTTGAAAAAAGGAGGGGAGTTCAACATAATAGCCGAATGCAGAAGCTGGAACAGCATGTAAAGAAACAGTGTCCCAAGTGATTGAGACCAGGAAAAATGTCCAATGTAACATTGGTTACTACCTTTGTCTAGAAGAAAGTCACTGGTTTTAAAAATACCCAAATACAAAACAACTATTTTAATTCAAGTGTTTAAATTTAGAGAACATATGCATTGGTGTTAAGAAAATAACTGGTACTGTGATACCTGTGATGCCGGCATCCCATATCACAGTACCAGTTCTAGTCTCAGCAGCCCCACTTCCAAACCAGCTCTTTGCTAATGCCCCTGGGAAACCAGATGATGGTGGCCTGAGCACTTGGGCCCATGGGAGACCCAGGTGGAGCTCTCGGCTCCTGGCTTCAGCCTTGCCTAGCCCTGGCTGCTTATGGTCATTTGGGGAGTGAACAAGCAAATGGAAGATCCCTGTCCCCCCTCTTCTACCTTTTCCACTGCTCTTCCTGCTTCTCTCATTTTGCTCCTCCCTCTATCACTCACTCTCCCCCTCCTCTCTCCTTCTCCTTTTATTTGTCACTCTGCCTTTGAAATAAATAAAAATAAATTCATAAATAAATAAATAAATATTTGTTAAATCTTCCATGAGAAATTTGAAGCACTTGCTTTTGGTCTCTTCAAGTGTTAGCAGCTGTGTAAGGTTTGGGAGCGATGTGGACATGATAGATTTGTTTGCATTCTGTAATAAGCACTTGATGCTATTTCTACAGTTTTTTTTCTTGCCACCCACCAAATTTTCTTGGCACTGAGAAAATATTGGGTTTACAGTCTGAGGCTGGGATTCTTTCTAGATTTTCTCTCTGCTCTCTACGTGGCTGCCGTGATGATCTCCACGAGTCACAGTTTCCTCCTTTAAAAATGAGACTGTTGGATCATAGCTAATCTTCCCTTTAAAACATTGCATGCTTCTATAAATGAGAAGCAATGGCTTAAAGGTAATCTCCAATGCCAGTTCTCAATCTGAAATATGCCAAAGCGCAGGTACAATTATTTTGAATGGCATTCATTTTGAGCAATCTACTTATTTCTAATAGAAAAGTAAAATAGAAAATAGAGTTTAAAAAAGGAAATTAACTGAATGCATCTTTCAAAGATAACTAGAGCCACTTAAGGAAATATTGTCATATAATAGCTACAAAAAAGACTTTCAAATAGAGCACATTCAAAACAAGAACAGATCTGGGGGCAGGGGAGACTTTATTTTGAACCATGAATTAAATGATGCTTCTGCAGCTGAGGTAGTGGAAAAGAATGGCATTTTGCACCTTTTACTTCCAAGATGAAGTTACTACCAAAATGTTATGTAATTACTACAAAGACAATGTAACAGGACTCAATAAGATGGAAATAAAGATAATGAAGTGTGTTTCTCTGTTACTTTGTATCTTTTTGTTGCTTCTCATACTTACTTTGTATCTTTTTGTTGCTAATGAAATATGATGTGTGCTCTTTCCAAACAAAAAATTCAATCCTCAGTTTAAAAGTGTGACTCAGTAGGTCTAGGACTAAAGAAGTCAGAGGTAAAACCAGCTAGTTGTGTCACACTCAGTATGCTTCAACTGATGGAAATTTTAACCTAAATCTTTGTTTTATTAAAATCTAATGGTGCCAACTGATGGTTTCCTTTTTGTTTTGCAGGCCTGGAGCGAATTGCTCGGGATTCGTCTTATGAGCAGGAAGGAAAGGTCCAATTTGTAATTGATGCTGTGTATTCTATGGCATATGCCCTGCACAATATGCACAAAGATCTCTGCCCGGGATACATTGGCCTTTGCCCACGAATGAGTACCATTGATGGGAAAGAGCTACTTGGTTATATTCGGGCTGTAAATTTTAATGGTAAGTTACAACTATGTTTTTTTTTTTTTTTTTGTCTCTAAATACTTTAGAAGTGACAGGGTGTGTTTCTTCCCCCTATTTATAGAAGACACCAGGCAGAGTAGAAAACACAGGATTAGAAGATCTCTTTTTTAATCAGAAGTGTGAGTTTTTCCACCTGCTTTTAAATCCCAAACATATTTTTTGTGCTACCGTTAATCTGCTCCTGAAAGATGCAAATGTTAAAAATAAACCTCTATCAATCAAAATATTCTACTTAAATATCACTATTTAAAAAATAACTTGGAAGGCTCATTTGAAACCATTAAAAACAGTAGATTTCTTTGAAAATGTTTTGTTCATGCCATGATTAGAAATTGTAGATGTTTTGAAACTGATTTTAATCTTTTTAAACAAGGCTGACTTGGAAAAAGTGGGTGATGTGGAGTTGCTATATATTTATATTCCAAGAGTGTTAAGTTTCTGTGTCTTTTCTTCCTTTGTATTTTTCTCAATAATTTAGCCAGTTGAAAGTAAGGTGCTGAATACAGTGCAGTGTGGATGGGATTTTTCCTACTGTAGAAGCAGAAATGTTGCTTCAGTGATTGCCACAAAAACTGATACAGAACACACTGGATTCATAGTATTGGCTTGAGGATAGCTGAACTTGTCTGAAGTGATGGAATTATTGGCTGTTGCTGTTCTTTCATGAATGTTGTAATGGTTTCTGCCCATGACTTTGACCATTATTTCCAAATGAAATGATAGAATGCCCTGAGCAGTCTAATTCTTTTGGTTTGGCTGTAATCCACACAATGGACATGCCTCTGAGCCACGCACAGCACTGCACTGTCCATCACAATACACTCCAGTGACCTCAGCTGCCAGCCTTTCTCAAAGAAGTACAAGGTCATCTTCAATTTAGAATTCAAGTGGAAACTTCTTTTTCTTTGTTCAGGCAGCATGAGGCAGAATTTGGTTTACATTCAACATTGGATATCCCTTTCTTCAGATTTTTTTGGGGAACATTGCATAGCGTTAATCCTCTTTTTTTTTCTTCCTTTTTTTGTATTAAGGGGAACTTTCAAGCAATGATCAAGTTGGGCCAAAAAGGAATGTTCTGATGTGGGTTATTTACCATAATGTGAGGTTGAAAAACACTTCACTCATACGATATTGTTAGTTAGTATGTGAGAAGAAGAACACAGATAAGTCAGTTTTCTCAATAACTAGAGCTTGTCTCCAGGGGACGGGGATCTCTTAAAGAAGCAGTGGATTATAACATTTTAAAGGTGAATTACAGATTTCTCTTTTAGTTTAACATAGATCAAACCTCAGCCATTCCTTGATGACTTCAGTTATTATACTATACTCTAATATAATGATGCTTTTAACAACTATTAAGGAATTTCCTAATGTCTAACAACTATTAAGATGATTTGCCTCTAGACTCCAATGATCTCTGAGTTCTTCTTTTCACTTTTTATGGTTTTCAAAATCCTCTCTGTACCTGATCAGACTTCTGTTGCTGTGCTTATCTTTTGAGATGACTCCTTGAATAATTTGCAGTTTAAAATCCCCTGTGGAACGAGAAGCATGAAATGGTTTAATGAAATTTCACTAATTTAGTCCAGAGGCAGCTATTTTGCATGTAGACTGTCTTATGCACTGTGATTGGTGCTAAAGATACACTATTCGTAAAAATAGGCAAAACAGTCATGGGGTGTAGTTTCTTTGGAAACTTAAATAAACACAAACATATAACTGTGTAATCTGCAGTGAGTGCTAAAAAACAAGGTGTGCTGGACTCTTGGAGTGTATAACAAGGAAAATTTCCCTGTTCTACAGTGTTAAGGCAAATGAAATCTGTGGGGGTGTCTGAGGGACGGGTGGAGCAGTAAGCAGGGACATATGGAGCAAGTGAGATCTTGTAGCCCATTCTTAAGGTTTGCTCTGCATGTGCAAAAGTAGTAGGAGACTACTGGAGCATAATAGAGCTGTATCTGGTGTAAGAGTAAGTGTACTCCAGGTGAGGATGATGGAAAGCATGTGGATTTTAGTGCAAGAATTTTAAACACTGTGTTTGAGCTACTTGGAGCATAATTTTAGTAGATCTGAAATTTGGCTGTGATCCGATAGCTGACAATACAGGGTAAGAGACTTGAATATAATCAAATTATCATATTATGTAATCTCTTGATTTTTAATATTTTTCAGGATATTCCTTATTTTTTTAAAGAAAAACTTCATTATTATCTGTAATGTTCTTTCCCTGTTAACACCTTTCTTGTTTGTGGTTACAAAGACACACTGGGTTGTTCTGAAGGACACTATCTAAACTATTAAAGGAGCAAGAAAGAATTATGGTTACCAGAATCAAGGATTACATTAAGATCTGAGCTATTTAAGCAGTCAAAGCATAAAAGAGCATTCAATGGAACACATAATTTTCATTACATGATAGAAGCAAGCCTATCTGTTTTTCAGGAGACAATGAATTTACTTGGAAATTGTTTCCAAAAGAAAGGTATCATATGAGATTTGACAGCCAAATAAACAATGTTATTTAACAAAATTTTGCAGCAAAAGCAGAAGCCTTGTCTGGCTATTTTTGCTTTTGTACTGGCAATCAAAGCTAAGGCATGTACTGTTCGTAACATTGAAGGGTATTTGCTGAAAGTGTGTTCAAGGAGGAAGATGATAATCTTCCTTGATCTAGATTTATAGTTCTTTAGAATTCTGATGATGTGGGATGCACCACATTCTCTAAAGCATATGTGAACATCTCCCTTAACAGTCTGATCTTTTTAAAAAAGGTTTATTTCTTTATTCGAAAGGAAGAGTTATAGAGGGAGATAAAAAGGCAGAGATAGAGAGATCTTCCATCCGCTGGTTCATTCCCCAAATGACTGCAATGGCTGGAGCTGGGACTATCTGAAGTCAAGAGCCAGGAGCTCTGAGATTGGAAGTGGAGCAGCCAGGACTCAAACCAGCACCTATATGGGATGCCAGTACTGCTGGCGGAGGCTTTTACCCAGTACACCACAGCACTGACCCCTACAGTTTGTTTTTAAAACTCTGTCATCATTTCCAGAAATCTAACATTTCAGCCAGTTCAAGTAAAAACTGCTAAGATGAAGGCTCCAACATGCCCAATCTACTTGCTGTTCCAGTTCTGGTCTTGGAGGTAGCTTTCAGGGTCCTGGTGGCTGAGTGGTGCATACTTCCAACCCACAGACTTACACATCATTGTTCCTCACAGGGCCTTTGAGAGATGGTAGGCAGACATTTAGAGTTTGTGTTCTCTGTTGGCAACCTAGCAAACAGCTTTTTTATCTTGTTAATTGGATACCCATTGAGTGGATGGTATAGGTGGTAGTCAGTGTTCTTATATCCTCACCATGTAGTATAGGCAACCCAGTTCCAGGGCACACAGGCCCCTGGCCAACCCAGTCATTCCTAAGGACCAATTTCAGTCACCTCAGGGGCCCAAGTGTGTTCAGTTTGATCCAGAACTTCTGACTCTGCTTGATAACCAAATACATTTTATCAAAGTCATTACCAGTTATCAAATAATGAACTTCTTAAGACATCCTGCAAATTTTGTTTAGTGTAGCCTCTGGATCTTCTGTGTGGATCAGTGAGCTATAAAATTCATTCTCCAGTGATTAAAAACATTGGCCCACTGGACGGAATCAATCACTTGGTAATACCTATTTAAATATTGGATGGAAGCTGTCTCCAAATGTAATAAATAAACCTGTCAGAGTTTATTTTATACATGTTTCTTTTTGTGGTCCCTGCTCTTTTATAAGTGTTGAACTGTGCCTCAATTTGAAGGAAGACTGTAGTAGTCATGATGGTAGGAAGTGAAGAAGCCCAAGCAACTGGATGCTGCACAGGATATGGGCATAAAATTAAAGAAAATGATGTTTAAAATTCCGTCTTAGATTGTAATGAAGTGAGTTATCCTACTTAAGTAGCAGTGCAAAGATACTTGGTTTAAATGATCATGCTGCTTTCTGTGTATTGTTTAACTGACAGTATAAAGAATATATTAGGAGCCGGCGCCGTGGCTCAATAGGCTAATCCTCTGCCTTGCGGCGCCGGCACACCGGGTTCTAGTCCCGGTTGGGGCGCCGGATTCTGTCCCCGTTGCCCCTCTTCCAGGCCAGCTCTCTGCTATGGCCAGGGAGTGCAGTGGAGGATGGCCCAGGTGCTTGGGCCCTGCACCCCATGGGAGACCAGAAAAAGCACCTGGATCCTGGCTCCTGCCATCGGATCAGTGCGGTGCGCCGGCTGCAGCGGCGGCCATTGGAGGGTGAACCAACGGCAAAAGGAAGACCTTTCTCTGTCTGTCTGTCTCTCTCACTGTCCACTCTGCCTGTCAAAAAAAAAAAAAAAAGAATATATTAGAATTCAGAATGATTAATGTTTCAACTCAGAATTATTAACAAAATAACTAGATAAAGGTAAAATAGTCCAAAGCATATGATACAATGGTGGTTTGACTGATTTTACCTAAACTGATTTTTCCATCATTAAAAATTTACCTGAACTATCTTCTGCATGTGTATTGTGAGCGTAATTAAATCAGGGCACATCTAGAATTACTCAGGTTTTCTTTGCAAATTTTCTCAACCTCTTCTCTCAACTTGGGAAGTCAGAGGAAGCAAAGACTTTCCTTTTAGGATTATTTTTATTGCTACTACTTGAACAAAATGCTATTTCTATAAATTTTTTAACTCTTCAGATTTATCAAAAGAAAACATAAAATACAGGAGTTCAGATTTTTTAGAAACTTAAGTTCCTTTGTCAATTCCTTACTGCAAGGCAATAAAATATTAATATTGTACATCCTGTATAGAATCAAAGATTTTTTTTCTGTTGTTATGAGAACCTTCTTCATCTTAAAAGAAAAGTGTTGGATGGGATTCCAGAGACATTCGCCCTACTGGCTTTCCATAATAGGGAAAGATATGTGCTTATGCCAAGGGTAGACCAAGCACAGTGGCACATTA